AGTGGGAGAAAGGGGAGGGGAGTGGAGCCATTTGCACCTTAGGCTTCATTTGAATGTGGCATTTGCCGTCTTGTTTGTATTTGAAATGCTGGGAACCGTATTATGTAAATAAAGCACCCAATACATCTGCAAGTGCAAGTGTCTATACTCAAGTTTTTAATCTGTTTCTAAAAATGTAAGTGCGAGGTCTACAGTCTTCGAGGGGACTATATAAATATAATATATACACCACATTGAGGCAGGCCCCCATCTACACAATTAGATAATTTAGGAAGCGGGTCTCCGAACTTGCCTGTCAGGGGCAACCCGGGCTGAGGAGGATACAACATCCCAGCAGAAAGAACGATATACTCATTAAAAATTGTCTTCCCATTCGAATATCGAACTTGAGTCTCTTGTGTGCGACTGCGAAGCGAGCGTCTAAACCCTACACCACAGGCGCCGGTTGGATTGGGGAGGCAGAGGAGATACGTATTATTTATATACTTTATAAGGGAACCAAACAAGTTGTGTTGAATAACTTTGTGTGACGCCGAAGGATGGAAGGATTTACTACTCGCATCGAACCTGGGACCAATAGTAACTATAGCACAGAAGAGCAATTAGCTGCACATGGGCTGATGGTTAAGGAACACACTGAAAGTGACTTCAACTCAAGAGTGAAGAGATATCAAACATAAAAAACAAGAACGTTTATTGTGCAGAGTATTTATTTGCAGATCTCTCTAATAAGACTAAGAAAGACCAGTACTGTACACAAGCAGTCCTTTGCACTGGCAATGGCATACATCTTTTAGTTCACATATTATATGTTTACAATAACGGATGACATTTTACTCATTGTTAACAAAGTCTCGATGATTTCATGTATCCTAATTAACTAGAGAAGATTCGTCTCACAGTAACGTTTGAACATTTTAAGCAAAGAAAGAAAAGACGGCATTTGTTTCTCTTCACGTGAACACCAAATCACCAGCTGTACACAGTGAGCAGAACTTTCACTTCGGGCCTGATCATTTTCTTTTGGACACCTTGAGCCAGATTTCCTCCTGTGGATGAGTGACTAAACCAAAGACAGGCTTCACCACCTGGTCATCCCACATGCTCACCTCAAACCTGAGAAAAGGAAAAAAGATTGATCGGAACTGGTGGTTTTGACAGATACAACGTTATTTAGGATTTTTCGAAGGACATCTAAATTTTTAAAAATTGCTCTGTTTAGACCTGCTTTAGCTTGACGCTCCATTTGGTCTTCAGATTGAATTGACTTTGTTGTGAAGAACGGAGTATACTTTTCCTGGAGGAGACACAAATGGTGTTACATAAAAATGACCAGTTTATACATTTCTAATCTGTTTGTTCCGGTATCCCTCTTCTCTTTATGCAATCAAAATTTACAAAATATTAACGAATTTTTTAAAACAAATCATCCACAACCAGACTTGTTTGATAGGGTACTCAAAGTGAAACAAAAAACCTGCGGTTTTTGAAAATAGGCTCGACTCTGTTTGATCCAGATGGAGTTGTATTGATCCCATTTGCAAAAAGCCTTCCCATAATAGACATATTGTCATGTAACTTCTAATTCGAGACGACCTCACTGAATTGTATATGCTGAAGGAAAAAAAAAATCTCGAATTCACATGTCGTACACCCGCCGAAATATTCGAGAAAGTATGGAATATTTAATATCTATTTATTTTATACTTTAGATTAAACAATTGGAACTTTTAAAACAGCTGTAGTCTCAAGTATGAACAATTCTTCAAAAAATGCAATTAAAACGCATTTCAAAGAGGCTACAATTCACTTCGCTACACTTGCTAACCTAGACCCAAACCGCCTTCCCCTTTTGTAAACAGAGGGGAAAAAACAACCCAAAAACAAATCAACAAAAAAGAGAAAACACAAAGATGAAGTTCCAGGCCTAACCAAGGTCAGGTTCTTAACGTTACTTACTTCCTGATAAGAGTGGCTATCAAAACAGTGGCTTCTTTGTATGCGAATTTATAACCAGGGCAAATTCTCTTGCCAGCAAATCCAAACGGAGAAAATGCATACGGTGGGTGATCCTTGCTATTTTCAATACTGAAGCGATCAGGATCAAACCTGAAAAACAGAAAGAAAGGACAATATTTACTGCAAATTTAAGATTATAACAGCACCAGTAGATTAAAAAAGAATGTTCCATTAATCTTTTAAACACAACACGACTGAGCGGAGTTTTTATTTTCCCACTAAGCAACCAATATGTTTACTTTATGTTCTTTGATACGCTGGTTTCAAACCTGTTTAGGGCTTTTAGTTACTGACTATTTTTTTATGTTGAGATGTACTGTTGTATAGGCAAAACAACTTGTGTTATCTTTGTGGAAAATGTTGTGCACAAGGGCAGCACAAGAAGCTGAGTCAAACTTGCATACAAACATTAGATTTATTAGTGCTCATTAACAAGGTTATCAGCCAAAATAATTTTCTAAAAATCCACAGCGCAGAAATTACATCTACATCAAATATGAGAGCTCATTTTCTCTTCTTTCTTTTTTATGAGCGATTCCTGCAGCTCTGGTCGGATCAGTAGTGTCAAGTATTTCCATGAGCATAACGTCACTCTTATGGTTGTGCCCGCTTGCTAAACTCAACTAATGGTGATGAAAAAAACAATTCCATTGAGATACAGCTTCGTCAACAATTGAGCCATGGTAAACGATGTCTTATAAAAGTGGGAGCCAAAAAAAAAAAGATGCATGCTAAACATCATTAAATAATACTACTCCCACCTCCCCCTACCAGTCCTTCACCCTTTTCCCCATTTTCATCAGGCTTTCTCGCCTATCAAAACCTATAAGATTCCATGGTCTCTTCTTTTCCATTCTTATGAGAAATAAATGCAGATACCGAAAAGGAAGAGGATTAACACTGTTTCTCGACATCACAATGCCAGGTCCTCTAACCATACTAAACAGTATTTGTTCACAAGTTTTGTCCTTATATCTGATAACCCTACCCACGTCCTTATATCCTCCCCCCCCCCCCACCGATGTCGTGAAGTTGTCGTCACAAACTTCATCCACAATAAAGTGGAGTATATATTTTATATCATAGACGTCGAAGGATAAAAGCCTGACAACTTCGAAGTCACAAGAAGTATCTGCAGTCAACCAGCGAGACCGTTCATTTGAAACATACACAAACCCAAACTAAAAAGTATTAAAATTTTTCAAGTGCCCGAGATTCGTGTAGAGGCACAACCGACTGAGAAAAGACCCTCGAGAACTCAGAAGTCATCATTTCATCATCAACCCGGTGCGACAATTCCAAAGGATTTTAAATGAGTCTAGCATCAAAAAGTGTCATTTGGCTCTTCAGATGTAAACTGCATGCTTACAAATCAGAGATGCTGTCACTAAAAAGAACATTCTCCTGATCTGATCGCATTATAATATTGTTATAGGAGTGAAGTCGGCTAGCTACGAAACCTAAATATCCATTGTTTTTGTATTTAGTTCAATTAAAATGATTTATTATTGTTCTGTTTATCGGATGGTGATCGTAGACAATTCTAACAGAATTTACACACATATTTACCTTTGTGGAAAGGGCCACAGCTTTTCATTCTGCATGACAACACCAAACCCGTGAATCACTGGAGTCTGAAGTACACATAGAAAAAAGCAAAAAAAGCAGAGATTACTCATGGGAAACCTGAGACCACACAAAAAAGTAGTAGAGTGCAGGCCCAAGAAAGGCGAAATACATTGAAACAGTGCTGCATCTCTGCATACAAAATCCTATCCAGTCGAGCAAAGTCCAAAATATTTTTCCATGGCTGAATTAATGCCACAACGAAAGTCTATTTTAAGACCTTTTCTAAAACGCTTCGCAATACTTCGTGTCTCAAGAATATCTGAGCCCTAAGACGCAACATACTGTTGGGAAAATCTAAACTACCCAGTCTTACATTCTTGAGAACCTTGTGTCCACCAAGCTCAGAATCGACGTCCTGGACCCGGGCGCCCCACGGGGCTATAACAGCACACCGCAGTGTTTCCTGGAGTACCTGGTGGAGATACCTGTTTAGGAAATCACATTTTGATTGAATTAAGACGTTGTTACCCGATACAATCAATATCTGGCAGATACAGCTACAGCCATATTTCACCGTAGACAAACGTAGGAATGAGATACATTGAAAAGACGAAGTAGGAGCACACCACGACAAATTAGTTAAGCTACTCAAATTTTTAGAATGTGTAATGAGTGGTCTATTCATCAATGGTTTCCATGATATAAAAGGATATTCCTCCAGTTCTAAATCTTTTAACTGGATATCTTATAGTCCGTCATAAGAAAGAAGAACAAATAAAGAAGAATATAATAAAAAGCCACTGATTTCAAAGTTAAGAGAACTATATAGGACAATGATAAGTGGTACCGTAGCTCGCCACAGCTGGAATCTGTGACGACGTCTTTCTGTCCCAAGACTTGGACAATCTCCGAGTGCAGCTTGCTCTGAACGTCAGGGTGAGTGGCCAGGAAATACATCGCCCATGTCAACACTGGTGAGACATCTTAGTATTTCAGGCTTTTTTATACTTTCGTAACTTCTGGTATCCATCAAGTTATAAAAAACATAGAATCACAGACAACACGAGGCAAACAGTAAATGCTGCAAATGCTCAAAAAGACCAATGTGTGGCCCCACAGAAAGTGGATAACCTGAATGTGACTAGCAAGTCAATTAAGTTCTGAGTGGAAGGTTTGGGTACACTTTTCCTTTATAAAAGCATAATCCTTGAACTTTTGTTTAAAACAACTATTTCAGTTTCGAATTGGAGTAGACACATAAATTCTGGTCAGGTCTAGCACACCACTAATCTAATGAAGTAATATACTTGAGTCTGGTACTGTCCTGGACCATGAAGAAAATCTAAAAGAATCTTGTTTGTATATAGACCTGGGGTAGGATATTTTGGCTACTAAAAGATGGGCCTGATAAGCCAACGTTTTTTACAGACCCTGCCTTAACTGAAGACACAACTGTCTGCGCATATGAGTAAGAAAATCTGAAGGAGATACGATGTGACAGTTGAGGTATTCTAATGACCTGTATTTATAAAAATCCAAATATGGGACAAAACATGTTGGTACCCTTTTAAAACCTGAGAGCATTGTGGCATAGACCTATGACAAATGTGCACTATAAGACAATAAGCTCTGACTCAGAACTTCAAAAGGTCAATGGAAAAATGAAGATGAGCAACACAAATCTTTAAATAAGCCTAGCTTGACTTGCATACCCCCCCTCCCCCCCGGGCCGCCTTTTTTTTTCATCCAACCCCTCCCTTTGCTGATTCAAAGTTTCAAACAACCGCTGGTTTTACATGTATCACAATCAGATACGCTGATATGAACAGACTGCTGTATGTAGTGAAATATAAAAAGACACATGAGACCACGTACATAGACAACACAAATACTCACAGTTGGCACTTGTGTGAAAGGCCGCAACCAAATATGTTATGACATCAGAAGTCACTACATCCTCTTCTGTTGTAGACTGTAGGATGACGTCAATCAGGAGCTGCTGGTCCTTAACTTTGTTCTGTCGGTGGTCTACGACATTCTTCACCACCGCGTTAAGGCACTGGAGAGCTGGAAGAGAGCCAGAAACCAGGTAACATAACCTGGAATATCGAGTGAGCACATTTGTTGCTACAAAAATGGGATTAATCTCTCCAAAAAAAGACAAGAGACGTCACACTTCAGAGAATCAGATTATCTTTCTGATCGGAGCAAGAGCAACTGGAGTATATTTTGAAACACTGACTGCTCAGTTCTGCTTCGGTCGTGTTACAATCAGTGCACGGGCTAGGTTATGATGTATATTTGACCATTGCTTTCCTTTACCTATCACTTGACATTAAGTCCTTCTGGCATGATGCCTCAACAATTTGAACTAAAAAATTCATGTATTATTATGCTTGACTATGTTGAAAAGGTGTTCTTTTAATTCTCTCAACCAATCAGTTGAAGCATAGGTGACAGAAGTCATATTCTTAACTAAATTTTCACTTCGAAGTGGCCAAATACACATTTTGTTATAGGGCTGTAGATGGGGGGTGGGGGATGAAGATGCTAATGCTGGTGGAAGGGTCTCGAAGTTTCATTTGTTTTTAAATAGAGAAAGGGAGGGGGTGGAGTGGAGGTGGGGGTGGGGGGAATGGGGGAAGACATCCTTCTAAGCACTAGGGGCCTACCTTCCGTAAATGATTTTTGCCTTGCACCATTCTCACCAAGAGGGGCTGGGTCTGTTAAGCGGCGTTCCATCTCATCCCAAACCTGATGGTTCGACACACAAAAATAAACGAGTACATTTTTTAGCAATCAAACAAACTATTTCACATATGACAACAGGAACTCAGATCAAAGTGCAACAATAAGACTCCGTCCCAGCAGATTTTATAGTGGCTATATCCACTGCCAAATGTTTTCTTCATGTAGAATGTTATTGCCATAAGTTACCAGAGAGAGGAACAAAATCAGGTTTAAATCCACCTCAAAACCTGTAAGCCGCAGATTCTGTAACGTAGTCCTCATATTGTTATCTCTTGTGCGATATGCTCTTAATTATAGAACTATGTTGAGAAAGTAACCCCCCCCCCCTCAAGAAAATCAATCAATCAATCAATCAATCAATCAATCAATCAATCAATCAATCAATCAATAGTTTTACCGTCGTGTAGGCATTGCAGATGGTCTGTACCAATTTCTCGTCCTGGAAACTATCTCCCATCAGAGTCAACAAAGTGGTGCGAAGTGAAAATGATGCCATGTCCTCGCAGACTGGTATGTGGTCTGTCTCACTTTTAGTTGACCATTTCTTCTCCACCATTCCAGCAATCTGAGGCACAAAGTTTAAATTGGCTATCTGTTGCAATATGGGCAGCGTGTACGATAAGTTTCTAAATGAGGTTTGGTTTTTTTTCAATTGAAATGCGTGTGACAGTGCTTAGTCTCAAAATCAATTGAGGGGAGGGGGGATGCACAATCACTGAACAAGACACAAGTGGCAATCAATTCCTGCCCATTGAAGTAAAAGCTTGGATTTCCTTAGCAGTTACCAGCAAAATAAAGGGGAAAATAGGATAAAAGCACATAAAACTTACGGAATAGCAGTTAGCACAGAAATATGAAGTAGACAGTTGAGTGGGGTAACTGACTGCTGTTAGTTTGAACAGGGAGAAAGTGTGAACGAAAAATACCTCTCAGTGGCATCTGTCTTCAATGTAAGTATGACAATGGGATATGGGACGGAGCTTACGCATTTGGGAACATATTTACTGTGGGTCTTGCTGCTTTCTTACAAATCGAATGATGTGATCAGTTTTTCCTGAAAAAAATCAAATTCTAACACCATGACGATCGATTGGATGATAAAAAATGACAGAACACGCCTTTTCCATCAGTATTCCAAATTTCATGTAATTTGGGAAGAAGGTAATACAACAAGGCGGAAACAAAGGTGTAAACTCACAAGGAGCTGGGGGCAGAACCCACCAGTCCTCTCGGATCATTTGCTATGTATCATATGCCCTTTACCGATACACAGGGATTGAATGTGAATCTATTGTCTCACATCCCCACTTATTGCGTTTCCATACCGGGTGTAGCTGGAAAAGAACAGTGAGGGCATTAATAATGACACCAGACAGAGTACGTCAAACTCTGAACAGAACAAAAGGCCTTCTCATTTAGTTGTCTGTTTTCTTTAATCTTAAAAAACAGCATCGTCACGTTACCTCTTGAAATTCTGGAAAATATTTCTTGAGATTTTCATGAGAAAACGGGCGGTCGTAAGCCTTTCTTCTTCTTCGTCCTTCAGAACCATTAGCGTACTGCAAAGAACTGCTACCAGACAACACTTTAAAGGACAGAAACAACTCAGCTGTAACGGAAAGAAAATCGTTAATAGAATTGAACAACGGAATGGTTGCTGCAAAACATTAAGTTGGAGCTCAACTTACATCTTTTTAAGGAGAAATAAATTATTAGCCACTTAAGTAAGAACAATGTGAATAAACTATGATAGTGTGAAAGTTTAGCACAATTTCTAGTGTCAGTGTGCGAAAAAAGATATAGATCTAGTATTAAATACGATGACAACTATGTGCTGGAAAGCTATTCAAAACACACCTACAAAGAGTAACTGAATAGCTGGCTATTTCACCAAAAATTTAAAAATGCTGCATAAAACATATTTAACTTTGCTTTGGAACTTGTCACATAATCTCTGTTATCTCTTGTCAGCATGCTGGCCTCTGCCTTATTTCGTCGCTATCATAAAGCAGAGAAACACCATAAGCTTAATGTTATTCCCTTTGGGTATGTTTGAAGCACGCTGAACTCAGAAAAACCCAGCCCAACCTGCAACTCTAATTTGGTGTCTACTGATTCAACCCAGACACGGCCTCTGACTCACAGCCGGCTTGCGTGACTAGAGTAAGACTGGTCAGGTTTCACTGGGTTTTATACATTTGTCATAGCATTCGTCGAGCCACATTTAATAATAAATAAGCTTAAATACATTTCATAGTATTTTTGGGTGTATTGTTTTTCACATGTACAGTTCAAGCCGACATTTGATGAGTTGAAAAAAGGACAGCCTACAGTAAAAGTTGTTTTCTTCTTTATCAAACGAAAGAAATATAAAAGTCGCAAATCGATTTCCAGAACAAAAAATAATATTAGATACACATCAATCCGTTCATCTAGAGATAATAGACATTTTAAACTAAAGACTCGAATGGCCAGGGCCGTCGAGAGCCAGGTCGGGCAATGGGGCAGCAATCACCTTCGGGCCCCTCCTCCCCCCGGCCCCCACCCGCCCTCACCTGCTATTTAATAACCCAACAAATACAATGTACATAGGCATATATAATCACTTTACTGTAGCATATCTATTACATACCAACATGCTCTCTCTCTCTCTCTCTCTCTCTCTCTCTCTCTCTCTCTCTCTATCTCTCTCTCTCTCTCTCTCTCTCTCTCTCTTTCTCTCTCTCTTTCTCTCTCTTTTTTCTCTCTCTTTTCAGCGTGCTTACGAGGCCCCCCCAAACCCCCGGGCCCCGGGGCATTGGCCCCCCCTGACCCCCCCCCCCCTTTCGACAGGCCTGCGAATGGCTTACCAGGTCTGTCAAATACATTGGCATGGGCTTTGAACAGTTCAGGTGAAGCAATGCTGACCACATAGGTCTGTCCCCACCAGAAACCAGCAATGTCTCCAAACCGGCTATGTAAGTCAAGAAGAAACTCATGCAGACTGCCTGCACGAGCAATATCACTGAGATTGCCTTCTCTGAAACAATAGACAGATTCTCATGGTACAAAGTTGTAACTATTGACGTTTCATTTCCAGATGAAGCATACAAGAGCACAGTCGTAAGATTAAGATCAGCAATAGGAATCTTTTTTTTAAACATATGATTACTCGCAAATCCATTTTAACATTTACGCAGTATTCCTTGACATAATTTCCTGAAGAAGCATACAATTAAAGAGCATGGTAGTGATATAAGATATCTGCAACAGTGACTATTCCTTTTTAAAACATGTGTTTGCGCTGTTGGTGTGTCCATGTCTCATTACCCGCAAATCTATAGAACAAGTTATTCAAGACAATTCGTTTCTTGTGGGCAGAAACAGTTGCAGCTAAACTATGGGATTGTCTCTCCTCACTAGCTAGCAAGTCGGGCATAGTTACCAAGTTGACGAAACTTCGGATGTTCTCCATGCCATTATTCAATTGTGGCACCGGACCTGGCATCTTTCTTTAACATAACTAGACTGAATAGCTGCACTATTTTGCCGCTTTGTTCTCTGTAGACCGGCGTCTGTGGAGGAGAGGTTAGGTGCCTCGCTGTCGCACACAGAAGATCTGACTTTGACTCCCGCGCGGGGAGAATTTTTATCAAGTATCTGGGGGCTCTTGTGGTCTAGAGGTTACGGTGTTCGCCTCTCATTCAATAGGTCCCGAGTTCTAAAACTGACAACATCAGAAACTGTTCTCTCTAGAATGTCCTCATTTCACCTCCTTTCCTGCTTTCTTACCATGCTTTCGTCTTCACTTTCTGCCCCCCTCCCCCCCCCCCCCCCACACACACACTTGCCCGCTCCTGTGGGCTCCTGACTCATTCTGCCGCCTTTCTACTACTACTCATTGGCTCCCTCTTACAGTTGTCTTTCAGCGACACCCTTGATCTTAGGTTAGGTAAGATCTAACACTTAGGCTTCTCGGCTAGGGCGAAAAATATAGAAGGTCTCGTGTGCATGGTCCGAAATTGATAAGAGTAGGCTTTGGCAGCGACCCGCACAAAATTCAAAATTAATTCCCACCAAACTGACCTTATGCAGTTTCTAACGCCGTAAAACACTTACCACAAACAAATAATAATCCAGTATCTTGGGCTACCTGTTGAGATGTCGTACGCCTCTCAGTCCAAGTTGACCCTGACAATTTGGGATGAAGCCCGCCCCGTAAATAATCTATGTTGTATCGATTGGGAGGTAAAACATCGACACGCAAAAGTGGTTTGTGAAGATTCTAAGTAGGTGCATTACACTACACTTCGTCTTACTCACTCTTTACTTGATGGATCGAGGCCAGATATGGTGGAGACCTTCTTCGAGCTCTGTAACACAAACACTGGATTTAACAACGGTATAGGCTATTCTGTTCCTGAAACCTATTGACAATGAGAAGTCTAATCACACTCACAGACAGCGCCGACAATCTACATGAAAGCAAGTGTAGACCAAAATAGAGAGTCTTTGTCAAAAAGTGAAAAACAAGTTCTAATATATACGCTAATGGCAAAGTATTGAGTTTTAATACAGCAAAAGCAATTAATTGTTTATGAAGGCTAAAGTAAGTTTTCAAACTTTCAGTACCGACTGTTTTTTATTCAGGCAATGGTCTTAATGCTGAAATAGATTTCAATTTCATTTACAGACAGTTCAACAGATTAAAAACCTATTCCTAGTTAGATGCACTATGATCATAATATTCTAAAAAATAATATTCTCAACAAGAGCTAAAAGTAATAATCAAACGTCATCAAATTAATGTTCTGACAATATTGAGATTCAAGATGTTATATATTATATATACAGGGAGAAATAGAGAGTTAGAGAGAGAGAGAGAGAGAGAGAGAGAGAGAGAGAGAGAGAGAGAGAGAGAGAAGATACACTCACACACACACACACACACACACGCACACACACACACACACACACACACACACACACACACACACACACTCTCTCTCTCTCTCTCTCTCTCTCTCTCTCTCTCTCTCTCTCTCTGTGTCTCACACACACACACACACACACACACACACACACACACACACACACACACACACACACACACACACAAATACACGCACGCACACACAGACATATCTGTTTTTGATGGTTTGGGGGAGGGGGGATCAGGCCCGTCATGGCCGGGATTCTTCTCGACCTTTGACAAAGAAAGCAGTCTAACGACGACATTCTTTGATCGATTTTTGTATTTACACAACACTGTCTAGGTTAGACATGCAAAGTGACATAGGTCAGGCAAATATGAGCTATAATAAAATAGAAAAAAAAGACCCTAGCAGAATATACTACACAAAACGTACCGGATAGAGCCATTTTACGGCTATAAGCATAGCAATAAGAAATGCTATGGTGAGAATCAGAACGTCCAACATTGTGGCTCAGCAGTTCCAAACAAGTGTTGGATGCGACCTCTCAGTACTTCCGTCAATACAAGAGACACGGAGCAGCTCTGCGCCTGCTTTGTCGATACCGTCCCGAATTTACTGACGTCGTAGACCTTGTCGGCCTACACTTCCTTTGACAGCTGGGGATTACATAATTTTAGAGTTGATTCCCCTGAGCTAAAATTCTGCAAAACCATCATAATATTATTATCCAGTTCAATAATGTAATCGAGGAAACGTTTTCGGCAAGATTTCTCAGGAATCACGAGTGTACATTCAGCCTTCTAATCGATCTTTCTGCTTACACTCAGCGTGTACCGTGTGTTTATCTCAAACATGAAAATATGCACGCATTTAGGCGCAGGCAAAATAGATGCACTTGAGTAAACCAGCATTTGTTCTGTGCAATGAATAGTTTTGTTAACAGGTAAGTTACATTATTATATGCTCGTGAATTGTGCTGTCCAGACAGAGATCACTCAAGACCTTAAGAGGGCTGTTCAAAGGCAGGAGTAGCTGAAGTTGTGGGGAATTACACCTGGCTCTTTTAACTCTTATGGAGGGATCCAAAAGTCCCGATTTGGCTGAAGATTACGAATTTTTTTAAAATGATTTTTTAGCTTCTACATCATCTCCTACAACTATTTCATTACATTAAACCCCCTAAAGCCTTATTTCTTCCCATACCAGGCATGTTTGTTATCACCATTTCATCATAAAGTCAATCTTTTACTTTTTTTTATCGCCCAATCTCTCAAAACGCTGTTTTTCTATGTACTTTATGAATAACCTAACAATTTTTCATCCAATCTTTATGAACTTTCACAGAATGAAGAGAAGATGTAATACTAAAGTTCTGTCTGTTAAATGTTTGATATATGAAATAGATTTATTGGTGGTGTCTGGAGCGTCGATTTTCACAGATTTTTTTTTTGCAACCTTGAATACTACCTCACGAAAAAAAATTTTTTATTAAAAATCTTCTAATTCGTTTTGAAAAGAATTCAGCTGACAAATTTGTAGATCTAATGTTTGTTAAGATGCATACAAAAAACAAACAAACAATCTATTTCCATGAAAAATAAGTGCGGTATTCATTACGTAAGACATGTCAACAAAATCCAATATGGTCGCCGTAGCCATGGAAACTAAACTTTTCTCTCAAATTTGATTGTTGATTCTAAGACTCCTTACTATACTTGTTATATGTGTCAAATTTGGTAAAAGTTGATCCTCTAATAAGCGAGATAGCCTTCAAGTGTAGCGCCCCCCCCCCCTCCCTTAAGGACGTAGCCGACATAATAAGTCCGACCTGCAGGAGACCAAAAGCAGTGTTGAGGCACATCTGGTCCATAAAAAACACGAATTTAGCATGTTTCATGGTATGCATGTTATTGTCAGCCTTTTAAATTTCAGAAATAAAGTACAGAATTGAAAAATTTATTTGATTACGGAAGCTATGTTCTTTTTTTAACGTGCCCAAAACAGCGCGTCTTCTAGTGCTGTAGAATTACCAGAACGCGAGTGTTCAAAGATTTAATATATATTTTATCGCATTTTATTGAACTGGGGAGCAGATAGCTCTGCAAGTTACTGAGAGACGAGGCTATTTTGAAAGCCTTTTATGCTCTTCAATGAGGATAGCCAAATTTCTACGTGAAAGATTAATGTCATAAAGGGCCAGGTCTGAAACAGACATTGTCGACCATGGTTAGCCAATTTCTCAGCTCTATGCCCCCAAAAGCACCTCTGTTATCCTGGGCGTTCCCTGCCTCTCATCTGTTTATATTAATTTCTAAGTCGGTTACTCTGGGTCTACCTCTTCCCCGTTTGCCGTATATTTTTGCCGTGAGGGTAAGATGTTCAGAGCTATACATCGCTCGGATTCTTCTTCTTCTTCTTCTTCTTCTTCTTCTCTCTCTCTCTCTCTCTCTCTCTCTCTCTCTCTCTCTCTCTCTCTCTCTCCCTCTTTCTCTTTCTCTCTCTCTCTCTTTCTGTCTCTCTCTCTCTACCTCCATCCCCCCCTCTCTCTCTCTCTCGCTCTCTCTCTCTATGCATCCCTCTCACTTTATATGTGTTTGTGTGGGTATGTGCGTTTGTGTGTGTGTGTGTGTGTGTGTGTGTGTGTGTGTGTGTCTGTGTGTGTGTGTATGCGGAGACACACGTACACATTACCCATCCGTACAGATAGATAGATAAATAGATAGATAAGCATCTTGAATACAAATAAACACGTTGTCCCCTTTTATATATTTCAAATAAAGATGAAAAAAGAATGAGAAATGAACGTCCAGACAATAATGAAGGAACTCAAATGATATTTAGAAGACGTACCTGATCGTCAGAAGGGAAAAAAAACATGCGTCCTGTTTAGGCCATTCATTCTAGAAAACTCTAGGTCGTGGTACAGCATAAAATCTACCGTCATAGTTTTAAATTACAAAGCAAACAAACTCTGCTTCACTGATGCCATTTTATAAACTATCTGTCATGTCACAGGTGCTTTTATTCGGCATGGTTGAGGTTTCAAAACACGTTCAGTTGAATGAAGCGCATGACAGGACTGTGCGAGATTGCCGTCCTGTTGCAAGACCCATTCACGCATATAGTCGAAGAAGAACGTCTGTTTTGTTGGGAATGTATTTGTAGATCTCTATAATGGAACTCAGCAAGACACAAACACACACGCAGTCCTTAGGAATGACAACAACAAACATTTATACTTACATGTCCATCATTTAGTGACCAAATTATAATGTGTACACAAAACAAAACAAAAAAGCCCACAGAGGAAATAGGATATTAGACAAAGATTGCTTTATTTTTTGTCAAGCAATCCCGTACATTTCACCAGAAGTTGAGAGTCACAAAAACTTTTAAACGGATATTTTAAATCAAAACAAACATGAAAATGTGCATATCAAAAGAGAAGACAGATGTAGCACGAAAAAACTGAGTAAAGTATTTGGATCAAAACCCGAAAATCTGACAACATACAGTTCTTAGATTATTACTTCTACAAAATATAACCAAAAAATGATTGGTCTGTTTATTCACAGCAACTTCAAAATGCTTGCCATGAGGGTTCTTTTTCAGAAGGACGCTACCGTTCTAATTTACAAGAATAAAAATGAACATCAATTTGAAATAGATATATTACAATCATTGTTTATACAGCTAAAAATCTCAGTCTGGAAGAACAATTCCAAAAAAAACCTTTTCAAAGTAAAACGCTGAAAAGATACAGTCTCAGTTGTAATACCCACACCTTTGGGTAGCGATGTTCTTTACATAAGCACAGTGCAGAATACAAATACGGATTTGTCAGTTTTTCTTGGTGTTGTGTTTGGTCTGAAAATAATGCAGGCGAAAGCTCACTAATCAAAAGTACAAATCTGAATATTAGCAAGAAGAAACCTTGACCTCTGATAACGTACGGAAACATATATGAGGTTAATTCATGCCCCCATTCAGTCATTCTCAGTGTACCGATGCAGTTATATATCAAATGATAATCACTGTGCATGGAAAGCAACCCTCCTCCCCTTTTTTCGAACATGTCAGAGTTTTTACGTCCCCATCGACACAATCAGGATCACTTGCAAGCACTTTGACCCTTCCTGTTAGGGCCAACCCGGGCGAAGAGGAATACAACGTCCCAGCAAAAAGTTCTTTAAAAATGACACACTCAATATAGGTTCTCCACACAGGGAATTGAACTTAGGCATTCTGTGAACGGTAGAGAAGCACCCAGTGCCAATCGCTACACCACAGACGCCGGTATTGGGTGTACATCGTAACGAAACATTTTGTTTTTCCAACAATGCAAATAAGTAATCAAAGACGAACCACCCAGAGAGACGTATTCGGCACCACATAGTAAGCAGTTTGGTAGAAGCCAAATCCACAAAAACAAACATCCTAACATTTTGCTAAATGAGTATATCAAAGTCAAAGTCGCATTCATTCAGAAAAAGATTGGCCTAGAATGACTTTTCACGTTTTACCAATGTTTAGGGATTAAATACAGAGAAGTGACAGAAATACAAGAATAAAATTTAGATATCGTTTCCGTGTACCGTGTGAGCACAAGTAAGTAAAGAGAAGAAAACTCCCTTCAGTCCTGATCACTTTCTTCTGGACACCTTGAGCCAGATTTCCTCCTGCGGGCGAGTGACGAAACCAAAGACAGGCTTCACCACCTGGTCGCCCCACATGCTCACCTCAAACCTGTGAAAGGGAAACTTAGGTAGTGAGACCAGGGTGGTGTACTTATAGAAACAAAAACCTGTCCTAAGACATTTACTGTTGTTCTTTGCCATACATGCATGCGTTTTCTGGTGTGCGTTTGGACGCATGTACGCACCACGTTTGTATTTGTTTGGTTTTCTATGTAGGTGTTTGGCAACCATTTTCGACACAATTTTGATTATTTAGAAGGCGGACTTCGACCTTACATGTCAGGGCGAACCCGGGCTGAGATGCACACAACATCCCAGGAGGAAAGATCGATATACTCGATAAAAAAGTTCCCTACTTGGGAATCGAATTTTGGTTTACTGCATGCGACAGAGAGGCACCTAACTACTGCACCACAGGAAACCGTGTTTAATTTGTATGTGTTCTTCAAAGATAATGAGAAGAAAAAGGGAAAAGCAATCTTAGAGCCGACAGATAATACATATAATATATATATATATATATATATAATTATATATATATATAATATATATATATATATATAATATATATATATATATATATATATATAAAGAGAGACAGAGACAGACGAACAGACCGACAGACAGGCAGATAGAGGGAAAGAAAGAGAATGACAAAGAAAGAGGTGGGGATATATATTTGTATATATTGTATGCATACATGGTTAGTATACATACATACATACATATATATATATATATATATATATATATATATATATATATATATATGTGTGTGTGTGTGTGTGTGTGTGTGTGTGTGTGTGTGTGTGTGTGTGTGTGTGTGTGTGTGTGTGTGTGTGTGTGTGTGTATGTGTATACGAGGGGGGGGGGGTCAAGACGTCTTTGGTCTCAATATGAAGTAATAAAAATAGAGCTTTGTAACGTGGCACACATACGTTCATTTCTCTACATAGTCACCTTGCGGAGTAACAAAATTTTGCCACCTCTTTGACCTTCAAAAGTCCTTGAGAAAAAAATGACCCAGGATGGGCCAGTAACCAGTCTTCCACAGCTTCAATGGCGTCCTCATTGTCATGGAAACGACGTCCTTTCAGGGATTTTTAAAGAAAAGGAACCAGAAAAAAGTCTGAAGGGGCTAGGTCCGATGAGTAAGCTGGGTGTGACAGGATTTCAAAGCCGCACTGTTCTGCTATCTGGACTGTTTGTTGTGCCCTCTGCGCAGGGGCGTTGTCATATCGTAGGAGGATCCTATTACGGAGTTTTCCACTCCGTTTTCTTTCCAGTTAGGATTGCAATTTTATCAACAAACCCAAATAGTAGTCCCTTGTGATTGTTTTTCCATCCATTTTCCAGGTAGTCAGTCTTGATGATAACTTCACAACCCCAGAAACACAACCGCATGACCTTTCCACTTGACGGTGTTACCTTTGCCTTCTTTGGTGAGTGCGAAGAAGGGGTTTTCCATTGCAGGGAGGACACTTTTGTTGTGGATCAAAATGACACATCCATGTTTCATTCATAGTCACCATGTTTTTAAAGATATTTGTGTCATTGGACTCAATTCGAAGGAACGTTTTTGCAGGACTCAACTCTCTGCTTTTTTTGCTCACTTGTCATTTTTTTTTTTACCCAGTATGTCACAGTATTATGACGAGGACATTTGTCACCATAAACTTGGACTATTTCCTGAAAAATGTCTGAAGGGAATTTTCCCTGCAAGTGTAAAAACTTGATAACTGAGCGATATTCAACAGGCTCCATGGCACGGATTCAGCAAAAGAAAATCAAACGGTTTTGTGCTTGGCTTCATTGAACAAGTGCCTTATTATTGTCCGATTTTCTCAAACATTTGCATGCATGGAGTGTCCCAAAGAAATTGTCTAAAGGCTGGCGAAATTTCATTACTCTACCATGATTCCTTCATACCCAGATCAAAGACTTATTGGGCCCTCTCGTGTGTGTGTATATATATA